GACACAATGGATCAGCTAGACCCAATTGATATCTATAGGACATTTCACTCCAAAACAATGAATTTCACCTTTCTCTCAAGTGCACATGGAACCTTCTCCAGGACAAATCACGTCCTGGGCCATACATCTAGCCTTGGTAAATTTTAAAAAGTTGAAATCATTCCAAGCATCTTTTCTGACCACAATGCAGGAAGATTAGAGGTCCATTAAAGGAGAAAACCTATTAAAAATTCCAACGAATGGAGGCTGAACAACACGCTCCTGAAAAACCAATAAATCACAGAAGAAATCAAAAAAGAAATCAAAATATGCATAGACATGAATGAAAACAAAAAACGCAACAATCTAAAACCTATGGGACATTGTAAAAGCAATGCTAAGGGGAAGGTTCATAGTAATACAGGCTTATATCAAGAAACAAGAAAAAAGTCAAATACATAACCTAACTCTACACCTAAAGCAACTAGCAAAGAAAGAAATGAGGAACCCGTGGGTTAGTAGAAGGAAATAAATCTTAAAAATCGGGGCAGAAATAAATGCAAAAGAAACAAAAGAGACCATAGTAGAAAACAACAGAGCTAAAAGCCAGTTCTTTGAGAAGATTAAAAAAAAAAAGCTGACAAACCATTAGTCAGACTCCTGAAGAAACAAAGGGAGAAAAACCAAATCAACAAAATTAGAAATGAAAATGGAGAGATCACAAAAGACAACACATAAATACAATGGATCATAAGAGGTGACTATCAGCCACTATATGCCAATAAAATGGACAACTTGGAAGAAAGGAACAAATTCTTAGAAAAGAATCTTTCCCAAACTAAACCAGGAAGAAATAGAAAATCCTACCAGACCCATCACAAGCACGGAAATCGAAACTGTAATCAGAACTCTTCCAGCAAACAAAAGCCCAGGACCAGACGACTTCACAGCTGAATTCTACCAAAAATTTAGAGAAGTGCTAACACCTATCCTACTCAAACTCTTCCAGAAAATTGCAGAAGAATGTAAACGTCCAAACTCATTCTCTGAGGCCACCATCACCCTCATACGAAAACCTGACAAAGATGCCACAGGAAAAGAAAACTACAGGCCAATATCATTGAAGAACGTAGATGCGAAAATCCTTAACAAAATTCTAGCAAAGAGAACCCAACAACATATTAAAAAGATCATACATCATGGCCAAGTGGGCTTTATCCCAGGGATGCAAGGATTCTTCAATATCCACAAATCAACCAATGTAATACACCACATTAACAAATTAAAAGATAAAAACCATATGAATATCTCAAGAGATGCAGAGAAAGTCATTGACAAACTTCAACATCCATTTATGATTAAAAAAAAACTCAAGAAATCAGGAATAGAAATAACATACCTCAACACAATAAAAGTTATATATGACAAACCCACAGGAAACATTATCCTCAATGGTGAGAAACTGAAAGCATTTCGCCTAAAGTCAGGAACAAGAAAAGGGCGCCCACTCTCACCACTACTATTCAACATACTTTTGGAAGTCTTGGCCACAGCAATCAGAGCAGAAAAAGAAATAAAAGGAATCCAGGTAGGAAAAGAGGAAGTAAAACTCCCACTGTTTGCAGATGACATGATCCTCTACATAGAAAACCCTAAAGGCTCTACCAGAAAATTCCTAGAGCTAACCAATGCATATAGAAAAGTTGCAGGATATAAAATTAACACACAGAAATCCCTTGCATTCCTATATACTAACAAGGAGAAAACAGAAAGAGAAATTAAGGAAACAATTCCATTCAGCATTGCAACAAAAAAAAATAAAATACTTAGGAATCTACCTACCTAAAGAAACAAAAGACCTGTATATAGAAAACAATAAAACACTGATGAAAGAAATCAGAGAGGACACAAATAGATGCAGACATATACCATGTTCATGGACTGGAAGAATCAATATACTGAAAATGAGCATACGTGCCAAAGCAATCTATCGATTCAATGCAATCCCTATCAAGCTACCAACAGTATTTTTCACAGAACTAGAACAAATAATATCACAATTGGTATGCAAATACAAGAAACCTCAAATAGCCAAGGCAATCTTGAGAAAGAAGAGTGGAACTGGAGGAGTCAACCTGCCTGACTTCAGGCTATACTAAAAAGCTACAGTCATCAAGACAGTATGGTACTGGCACAAAGACAAAAATACAGATCAATGGAACAAAATAGAAAGCCCAGAGGTAAATCCATGCACCTATGGACACCTTATCGATGACAAAGGAGGCAAGAATATACAGTGGAGAAAAGACAAGACAACCTCTTTAACAAGTCGTGCTGGGAAAACTGGTCAATCACTTGTTAAAGAATGAAACTACAACACTTCCTAACACCATACACAAAAATAAACTCAAAGTGGCTTCAAGATCTAAACGTAAGACCGGAAACTACAAAACTTCCTAGAGGACAATATAGGCAAAACACTCTCCGACATAAATCATAGCAGGATCCTCTATGACCCACTTCCCTGAGTAATGAAAATAAAAGCAAAAATAAACAAATGGGACCTAATTAAACTTAAAAGCTCCTGCACAACAAAGGAAACTATAAGCAAGGTGAAAAGACAGCCTTCGGAATGGGGGAAAATGATAGCGAATGAAGCAGCTGAGAAAGAATTAATCTCAAAAATATACAAGCAGCTCTCGCAGCTCAACTCCAGAAAAATAAACGACCCAATCAGAAAATGGGCCAAAGAAATAAACAGACATTTCTCCAAAGAAGACATACAGATGGCTAACAAACACATGAAAAGATGCTCAACATCACTCATTATCAGAGAAACACAAATCAAAACCACAATGTGGTACCATCTTACGCCAGTCAGAATGGCTACAAACAGTAAATGCTGGAGAGAGTGTGGAGAAAAGGGAACCTTCTTACACTGTTGGTGGGAATGCAAACTAGTACAGCCACGATGGAGAACAGTGTGGAGATTCCTTAAAAATCTGGAAATAGAACTGCCATATGACCCAGCAATCCCACTCCTGGGCATACACACTGAGGAAACCAGAAGTGAAAGAGACACATGTACCCCAGTGTTCGTCACAGCATTGTTTACAATAGCCAGGACGTGGAAGCAACCTAGATGTCCATCAGCAGACAAATGGATAAGAAAGCTGTGGTACATATACACAATGGAATATTACACAGCCATTAAAAAGAATGCATTTGAATCAGTTCTAATGCCGTGGATGAAACTGGAGCCTATTATACAGAGTGAAGTAAGTCAGAAAAAAAAAAAACACAAACTCAGTATATTAACACATATATAGGGAATTTAGAAAGATGGTAATGATGACCCTATATGTGAGACAGAAAAAGAGACACAGATGTATAGAACAGTCTTTTGGACTCTATGGGAGAAGGCGAGGGTGGGATGATTTGAGAGAATAGCATTGAAACATATATATTATCATATGTGAAACCGATTGCCAGTCCAGGTTTGATGCATGAGACAGGGTGCTCAGGGCTGGTGCACTGGGATGACCCTGAGGGATGGGATGGGGAGGGAGGTGGGAGGGGGGTTGAGGATGGGGAACACATTGTACATCCATGGCTGATCCATGTCAACGTATGGCAAGACCACTATGATACTATAATTAGCCTCCAATTAAAATAAAAGATAAATAAAGAAAAAATATCTTCCATAGATAATTTTATAAACTCTGGTGGTATTTTTTCTTTCCTTATGATTTTATAATAACAAGTAGTCTAAATAAGAAAAAAGCATAAGTCGTGATTTCATTCACTTAATGTATGTAATTACCCATTATTTGCTGACATTCAGAAAAAGAAATCAGAATTTCTCCAGAGGAAAAAATATAGTTCTCCAGTTTTTCTTTCAAATTGTTGCAGCTGAAAATTTTCTCATTTAATGAAAAGAGATTAAGAATCGCGTTTATAAAATTATAAATTATAATTTTAGTAAAAAGGATAGATAGAATGCTTCTTTATTTCCTCTTTATTTTCAGAAAGATCTAAAACACCCACCAAGGTTATAGCAAACAGTTTAAGATAAATTAGGTGAGTACATTTAAGTATATAGTGTCAGACACGAATGAGCGACTGAACTGAACTGAAGTTAGAAACCACAAGAAACAGAAGGGCCAAAAATTCTTAACTCATAATACATCTCCTAAGGCCTAAAACAGGGCTCATCTTGAATTGTCGCTAAACAAAAGTTTTGCTAGGTTAAATAGAAGACATTGCTCCATTAATTTCAAAGTGAGATTTTTAAAAGAGAAAAGTTTAAAGAGAAATCACTTCAAATTTAAATGGACTTCCAGAGGGAACTATATTCAAAAAACATATGTACATACACAAGTATAAACAAATCACGTTACTGTACACCTGAAACTTACAGGTATTTTAAACTGACTACACTTCAATTGAACGAAAAAGCAAGAACCACCACCAACCTCGAAAACAACCACCAAAAACAATAAGGAACACATTTTCTTTCAGTTCATCATAAAAATCAGCTATATGCCATTCAAAAGAGTATGAGCATTGTTTTTTCATGACCTCACTTTCTCTTCTTACGTTGAATTTGAAATAATGTCTCACAGAATTATAACATAAGAGTTCCTGGTGTGACTTACCCCCCACTATTTCTGTTCTGTGGGTAAAATAATCTGTCTCATCTTCACCCTCATTCCATCTTATATTCATCTTGTCCTTCTTAAAGGAATTCTTCCCCTTTTTCCTCCTCCCCATCTTCATATTCATCTAGTTGTTTTTCCTCAGTGCTTTGTAATTCAGTACTTTCATAATGGTATACTTAGTATGCCAATATTTTTAAATCTGAATCATGCACATGTATGGCTCTTATTATCACACCATTTCGTATCGTGACTTTGAGGGCTTCTATTTCTCTGGTGGGATTCTTTCTGTCTTCATAAGGATCAGGGGAATGGTATGTAAACAAGTACAGGGAAAGAAGAGTTACAAACAGAACCACTTACCTTTGCAGGACCAAGGCCTGCTACAGACTTGAGAAGTTTTGGAACAGGCTCAAGTGATGGGAAGGCAGGCTGACAGATGCCCTCAAACCAGGGTGATGGTTTGGGAAATGTTTCAACCACATCTTCAATGTTACTATCAGAATTATTGTCCTCAGAGAAAGTGGTACTCTCTGGTCTCAAAATGCCACACTTTGCTTCCACTACAGTGAAAACAGGAGAGAGTACATGAGAACATGTGTCATTTCAAATCAGGGAATAACACCAGAAGGACAGTCTTCGAATAACTTACTGTTTCTGTCGGACTGCTGAGAAGGCTTCATGAGCTTTGTTAGCTTTGGTTTCACGACATGCTGGAGAAGAAAACAAGAGCTTGAAGAATATAACAAGTATCAACCTGAATAAATGTATAACATCCTCCACTCCTCCATGATCTAACACAAAGAGCACAGGCTCTGGAGTCATTCAGATGTGGATTCAAATCCCAGTTCTGCCACTGACTGACCTGCTCATGGGGAAAGGATTATGACAGATGACATCAGAAGCCCTGGATGTTCCTCTCCTTACCCCTAATTGACAGCTATATAAATACGATGACACCCACTAGATTACTTTCTCTAGCAAAATATTCGAGAGTAATAACTTATTCCCAGGACTTCAGAGCACGATTGAAAAACTAAGACATTTAAATTAATTGCTATATTTTAAAATCTGCTTCCATGATTAATATACACATGAATTATCACTTGGGAAGGGAAACATGAAAGTTTAGGTTTTAGCAGAACCTTATTTAGATGGCTAGAACTGCAAACAGGATAAGCTACTTCTATTCTGTTTGTCAAACAGCTAGAGATATAAAACAGGGGGAAAAAAATCAGCTGCTTCTATGAAACAGGGAAAGAGCAAGGTTAAACCCGTAGGGCAATGATCATGAATGAAAGCCACAAACAGTCTAAACAGACAGCCATAAGAAAACACGTGCATAACAGGGGAAGAGAGAGATGGACTGAAAGAACAGACACTGAAGAAATTTGCTCTGCGAGAAAAAATTAACAATAAATATTTTAAAAAAGAAATTAAAAAGGTAGAGGAGAAAGAAGAAAGGAAAAGGTGAGACATTCTTAGTCAAGAACAAACTTCACAGGGGAAAAAAAAAGTATACTAAGGTATGTGGAGAAACACATCTATTTAGAATTTATATACAAAAGATCAGTAATATAGCAGTATTCTTAAGTATATACTATCAGGAAAGCCTCTTTTTCATATGATTTTATTAATCTAATTATATGCATCTACACTGTTCTTCAAATTTTATGAAGATATCAACATCAGTTCAGGTCAGTTGCTCAGCTGTGTGCGACTCTTTGTAATCCCATGGACAGCAGCACACCAGGCTTCCCTGTCCATCACCAATTCCCGGAGGTTTTACAAACTCATGTCCATCGAGTCGGTGCTGCCATCCAACCATCTCATCCTCTGCCGTCTCCTTCTCTTCCCGCCTTCAAACTTTCCCAGAATTGGTATTTTCCAATGAGTCGGTTCTTCACATTGGATG